GCCTATATATTTTTTTAACCCGTCATGTACTGTAGCAGCATAAAAAATAACTGAAAAACAGTTAAACAAACTGACAGAAAGAAAAATAGATAAATAAATAGATAAATCAGTCTGTCAGTAAATCAATCAATCAATCCGTGTGAGCAAAAGAATTTATCACTGAAGTTTCTCTGTACGACTTCTGGTCAAATGTAGACTAGTTTCTATTCTGCAGTCTGTGGTTTACCCAAACCCACCACCGGTCAGCCATATAATAAATCTTTGACTGTCATCTGGCTGGAAAACAAACCATACTGCAGCCAGACATACAATACACCAGCTGTGTTCAGAATGGAATACTAGCTTACTACTTCCTGAATACTGGCCCATATGCACTGTACTGTATACTGTCTACTATCTTTTCAAAATATTAAGTACAAATGTATGCTTTACTCCCTCAGCATTTTAATTCAGTGAGTGGCATCCCGTTATCACACTGAAAAAAAGTAGATTTTTCATTTTTGTCATATCTCAACATTTCAGTCCAAATAATGGATCAAAAAACATAAAAATTACAATTTCACAAGGTCAACCCCATTTTAAACAGTGTGTTGAGCACAATACACTGAGGGATACAGTATTACAGTAAGCAATGGCTTGTCTAGTGCCAGCGCTGTAATTAGCTTATCTTCAATCAGATGAACTGAAGTGTGTTGAGTCATTGCCCTCATGCTATACGCTGTAAATAAACATACGTTCTGATAAAACTCTCAAAGAGGCACAAAATCACTTTCACAGACTTTTTCATTAACTGTTCCCTCCTGGTGGAATGACCTGCCCAAATCAATCCGAGCAGCTGAGTCCTTAACCATCTTCAAGAAACGACTAAAAACACATCTGTTCCACCTTTATTTGACCCTCTAACTCTAGCACTTTCTATTCTATTTTAATTCTACTTTATCTATCTTCTTTTTTATTTGTATTTAAAAAAAAACAAAAAAAACACTAGCTTTCTATTTTTTCTATTCTATCTACTTGTTTTTCTTTGTGTGTGTGTGTGTGTGTGTGTGTGTGTGTGTATATGTATATGTATATATACACCTTGCTACGTGTACTGCGTTAGGCTAACCAAGACTTGTAATTTGCACTTATATATTGTTGCTCTTTTGTTAGTTTTGACTGCTTTTATTGTCCTCATTTGTAAGTCGCTTTGGATAAAAGCATCTGCTAAATGACTAAATAAAAAAATAAAATAAAAGCAATGTTTTGAAACTGACACCCAAAGCTGATTCGGCAGATACAGTTTGCATAATGCTATGATGTTTCTCAGGGTAGCAGGCAGGGATCTGGTGAAAAATTCATTGTTCAAACGTATAACACACCATTAGAGTACAAAATGTGTGCTAAAGCCAAGTAGATATGGCTCAGGTCTCTGCTTCAATGCAAGTGGAATATTTTCGTCTGCCAGGTGAAAATTGCATGTCTGAGACACAATAGCACTTCTTCTCAACAAGTCTCGTGTTTTAGGTTGTGAGATGGTGCAGGATGAGTTACTATGCATCAACATTCAATACTTATGGTTATATTTAACCTTGAGCAATAGTGAAAATAATCTACTATTTAGCTAAATGTGTATTTTTCTGCACATATCACAACACCTGACCTCCAAGACTCATATCAGGGAAATCTACAGCTCAAATTGTCCACGTCAGGCAACTCTTGCATATAATAGCACGGTAATGGGCCGTTCCAGGTCACCGGTGCATTAATGCGTGAATAAGATCAATGCATGTCTTACTACTCTCCTTAATTGTTCATTACCTACAAAGCAGCCCAAACATAACATGAGAACGTTTCCACACAAGAGACGGATCATCAGCAGTAATCACAGCTTCTTTTGCCAAATAAAATTTTCTACACAGGCATGAAACATTCCCTAACTGATGTCAGAAGGGCACATTTGTTTTAGATTCCATAAGCAATCACAAACACAGTTACAGTTCGTGTCGTATAGAACACAATTATGGCCCACAACAGAGGCGTTGCCCATTGCGTGTGTTCTGGACAGACCAAGCAAAATACCTTACCACAGTAACTATTATTAACATGTGTTTCTTTGGGAATTGTTTCTCCTCAATCCCTCCCTAGATGTCCATGGTTTCCAGCTGAGATAAATGATCCATAACAAGAATCCATTTCACATCATGAATGATGACATCACG